GCCGGTTTCATCGCAGCATACACATGTCTACGGAATTGGTCGGAAAATTGTGGTGTATGAGCAACACGTATAAACCTAACGACAAGGCAGAAGTTGCGTAATTCTTCTTGATATACAAGTCACACATCCATGTAATGTCGACGACTTTCAGAAGACCACACAACTTCTTCAATAACTCCAACAAAAGTACACAGAAATTCACAGAACAAGTTTGAAAAAATGCATAGAAAATGATCTCGGTAAATAAGCCACAGAAAAACTTTCAATGCGGCGACCAAGTCATCTCCAATAGTTGCGAGAATATGAAACAAACCAAGATGATGTTCTTTGGTATATGGTGACTTTAAAAAGTTGATAATTCGAGGGAGAAAAGATCGAAATGTGTAAAATCAAACTGCTGTTCTTTATCGTTAAGAAGTATCCAGTTCGGCCCTAATGATAAATTTGAAATTTCGATAAGGTTCACTGAATCCAAACGTCAGTCGGAAAGAAACTACTGAAACAATGACCTGGTTGAGTCTCATCTGCACCACCATTCCATTGACCCACCTAAGGATCGAAATCTGGACCTCAAGCGTATTACCCACTTGTGGAACAGGTTCTTTTCTATATGTAGAATATACAGTACAATTCATTTTTTCAGGCTCTTTACGACCATCTTAACACTAGTTTCAGGGGTTATGAGTCTCTTCTTAACTGGAATAACTGTTACAAGGGAGTAGCGAAGGACTTAATTCGACCACACGGCGAGTTTCGTTGTGTGCAAAGCACAGAGATTGTGAACCGAAAACTTGTACAGCCGCTGAGATCTGAATGGGTTTCAAGAGGGGTGTGTGTGTTTTGCTTCTCGCTGAGAACCCGGATTCAATCTTCAATTGGGTAGAAAGATTTGCACTGGTGGTATTTTCAGTGACCATTTCTTACTACCTCACATGCGCTCCGTTGTATATATACTTCTTTACCAGTGCTTGGGTCCCATAATTTTTCTGATACATTTCCCAAAAAGCGTAACGGCAACCAAAACCGATGCACTAAAATGTAAAGTTAACTGGAAACCAAACCAACTGTATTTCTAGATTTTCAAACTAAAGGATTTGGTTTACAAGACCGATGGTGATCCATCGATACCTATTTCGTCATTTTAATCATTGAGCAATATATCGTAACAACTACGATTGTGTTATCCGAAGCAAAGCTGAGAAAAACGTAAAACAGTTATCCTTTTACACTTCACTTCTGTGCAGGAATGGAAATTACTGTCTTTTATTGCCGTTATAAATCGAGGTTTGGCGTTAACGAAGTGGATTCTATGCTAAAAAGAAATAGTTTGCGCTGCTTACTTTGCGTTGTCGACGAGGCCGTTGTGACGATAATCCGCTTCTCCAGCAGCAGCATCAGCAGCCACCTTCATGTTGGCAACACTCTGCAAATACAAAGTCGAACATATTTCAAGACAATGCGTGGAATAGGAAGTGAATAAATGAAGCGAAAACTAAAGTGGAAACGTCATCTAAACCGATAATTATTGTTGTATCTGGCTGGACAGAAACAACCACAAAGAAATTTGAGCATGCAAAATAATCAGCGAACCAATAAATCCGTGTTTAGTATTGCAGCAGTTAGGCAAATGTTTGCACCGAGGACCTGTGAATCGTTGTGCGAACGACAGAGTGCGAGGCGAACAGAAGTGTGAAGCGCGAATACAGCAGTGATGTGTCTGTTAGCAATGGAGGTGAGCACTTTAAATAACAACTGATCGGAAATGAGCACACACAAAAAGTGGTCAGCACTCCGGTAAGCTGTGCACAAGTCTACCAGTACCAGATTGCCAGTGCTTTGAGCCGACCGAATTTGTCCAAACGAGTCCGGTTGCCTGGAAGTGGATTTGCGACGT